CAAGAAGAGCAACAAGCTGACCCTGCTATTCGTGAGGTCATTCATCAGCTGGAGACTGGTGAGAAGGTCCTTCCATCAGTTCGAGAGGAGCTACCTGACCTTCCTTTGCTCCTGAGAGAGTGGAACAGGTTAGAGTTGGTGGATGGAATCTTGTATCGGAGAAGACATGATGGAGATAAACTTATCTACCAGCTAATCCTACCGCCCAAGTTACGACCAGCTGTTTTAAAGAGCTTGCACCATGATATGGGGCATATGGGCATCGAAAGAACAATTGATCTGGTGCGCCAACGCTTCTTTTGGCCCAAAATGATATTAGAGGTGGAGACTTTTGTCAGAACCTGTGGTCGTTGCATAAGGCGTAAAGCTCAAATAGAAAGAGCAGCTCCATTAATAAATATTCAGACAAGCCGACCACTTGAACTGCTATGTATGGACTTTTTAACCATTGAACCTGACAGCAGTAATACTAAGGACATTCTTGTTCTCACTGATCATTTTACCAAATTTGCAGTTGCCATTCCTACCCCCAACCAGAAGGCAAAGACGGTTGCAAAGTACCTCTGGAATGAATTTATGGTTTATTATGGAATTCCAGAGCGTATACATTCAGATCAGGGTACAGATTTCGAGTCCAAGCTCATTAAAGAGCTCTGTGAAGTTGTAGGCATGAAGAAAAGCCGAACTACCCCGTACCACCCACGAGGGAATCCAGTCGAGCGCTTCAACCGCACTCTGCTCAATATGCTTGGAACCCTGGAAATGAAACAAAAGTCAAAATGGCGAGAGTATGTCAAACCTTTAGTACATGCATATAACTGTACAAGAAATGAGGTAACAGGGTTCACACCTTATGAACTCATGTTTGGTCGTTGTCCTCGTCTTCCTGTGGATTTGGCTTTTGGTTTACCCGTCAGAGAACAATCATCCATCTCTCATTCAGAGTATGTTAAGAATCTGCAATCCAGCCTGAAAGAAAGCTACAAACTAGCTTCTGAGAATGCCCTCAAATCGGCTGCAAAGAACAAGACCCGTTTTGATCAGAAAATTACACCATGCAGTTTGGAGATAGGAGATCGAGTACTGGTTCGCAACATCCGTCTGAGGGGTAAGCACAAGCTGGCAGATAGATGGGAACCAGGGGTGTACAAAGTTGTTGACAGAGCTGAAAATGTACCAGTTTACACTGTACAACCTGAACACAAAGAGGGACCAACTCGTACTTTACATAGAGACCTGTTGCTTCCTTGTGGTTTCCTGCCAGTTTGCTCCACAGAAGACCCTTCCATCTCCATGCCTGCCTCACAACGAAAGACTCGCAGTCAGGATGGTTGCCATCCAGATGTTCCTGATGCGATGCAGGAGGATGAGGATGCTGAGCCATATGTGCCAGAAGTTTCCATCCCATCCCCAACCAGATTCAGTGTGAAGGTGAGAAAATTCAAGTCATCACCGGAATCCATTACTTTGCAGCCTATTTCACCTTTGGCTCAAAGTGATGCTGAAGCACCAGAGCATCCTGTACCTCTAATTCAGAGCACAGACCTTGAGACTGCTAGTCCATCTGAAAATGAAGAATCCTGTTTAACAACTGATTCATCACTGTCTCACCATGAAGACAAGCTACCTGTGGAACAGATTGAGACAGAGGAACTTTCTGAACCACATGTAGCTGAGCCTGTGAAAGTACACATGGAGGGAGAAGTACCTGACGAACACTTACCTGAAGTTCAAGAACCTGACGCTGAGGGTCATCTGGTCGTTCAATCTGAGTCATCAGTTTTTTATTTTTCTATTTTGTTAGATCTGATTTTATTTATTTTTATTTAAAGATTTAATTAAAATCCTCCTTTCCTTGATTTATTTAACACAAACCAAGCGAGAACACTCTTCTCGCGATGTTTCAACGTCATGTGACAGCTGCACGTCAGCGTCCTAAATTGACAGCTACGGCTTATATTGCTGCTGAATCGCACCTTAGGTAGGAGACGCTGTCGGACTCTGACGTGCAGGTAGGCTTCTGTTCTGTTCCCAAAGCGGTTTTCAAATGTCGATTGTACATCTATCAATTGTGTGCCTCTGTTAACTTACAGACGTGAACATTCGGCTAAACGTTGAAACGATCACGGTTTGTCAAGAGGGAACTGGTGAGTGTTTGTTGGGGAGCTAGCATGCTAGCACTAGCCTCCCCAGCTGTTAAGTAGGTGACGCCAATCTAAAGCACATTCAAATTGAAATGCTTATTGAAACTATTGTTGTGAAAAGAGTAACTTGAATTTGCATAAGTTGCATTTAATTATGTAAACTCCTGTAATTAGAAAATACATGTACATGTTGATTGATTATTTAGGCCTGTTTACACAGGCCAGGTGTATTGCAGATCCCCCCCCTCCGCTCAAGGAGTGGCTGAAGGGGTTAAGATGCATCACGGATTGTCTGGCTTCATGCTGACCAGACTGGCGAGCTAACCGTATTAGCGGATCCGGAGATACAACACTTATCTGTGAAAACTTCCGAACTGGTTGGAGATTCGGCCCAACAGTCTTCACTGATGGAACTGGATATTTATTTTTTGTTTTTCCTTTCATCATCAACAAAGACTGATTGACTTTCTTGGATTAAGGAACCCTTTTGAACTCCAAATTGTGGACTAATTTGCATACATTGTAAATATCAATACAACTCACGGATTTTGCACCATCTACTTGTCTCTGTGTTTTACAATTTGCCACCTCCTCCAGCAGACGAACCTAGTTTTTAAGAAATCACTTGGATTGACTTTAATTTGGATTATTTCAAATTCTAATAATCCTAGAATGTAACTCTGGTTACAATTGCATATTTGATGAATGTATCTTTTTGTATAACTACTCGAGGTAACTCGGTGACTTAACGGCTATATGTGCCTGGAAAATATACGATAGTGCCCCTTTAAGACGAAATGCCACGGCTTACCTCTTAATGTAGTTGGTGATGTTAAAAAAAAATTACAGGGCAGGAAACAAACATCGATGGCAAAAATCTGTAACATTAATGTGTAATATTTGCAGACAGACGGTCGATAAAGTACGAATGCCATCGGATTTAGGATGTTTACTGCGCTATATCTTCTCTGCTCAGTGTGAGTCAATAATCGGTAGGTTTTGGAAATGAATCATTTTCCAGACATCAAAAAATGATTAATTAAAACAATAAATTTAAATCATAAAAACGTTTTATTAATCATCTTTGTTGTTTTTAGAAGCAGTAGAAACCCAAATGGAAGCACAAAAATGTTGAGTAGTTATGATAGGTCCCCTTTCAGTATCTTATTATTTTTACATATAGAAAGTTCTCACTTTGCTAGCTCTTTTATATAACGTGTATTGTTTCCTTTATTGAAATTTAGGTTCATTTTTGTAAAACATTTCATTTACTTGTATTTTTGTAAATCACTTGAGTTTATTTGTATGTCAAATTTCAGAAACAAGGCGGTTCAAAGAGCTTTACGTGCTTTACCTTTGAAATAGGTTGGTAAATTTCTTTTTTTTTTTGGATTCAAAAGCAACTGTAATTGGTGTTTTGGTGCGTTGAGGGGACTTCACTTGCAGGTCATATTGTCTGTTTGGGTGTCAAACTCCAGTCCTCAAGGGCCGTTGTCCTGCAGTGTTTAGATGTGCCACAGGTAAAAAACAGTGGAATGAAATGGCTTAATTACCTCCTCCCTGTGTAGATCGGTTCTCCTGAGCCTACTAATGACCTAATTATTCTTTTCAGGTGTGGTGCAGCAGAGGCACATCTAAAAGTTTCAGGACTGCGGCCCTTGAGGACTGGAGTTTGACACCCCTGGTTTAGTTTTTCTGTTATGTTTCACAAGTAGCTCAATGGGTAAAGGTATGGTGAATTCACCCAGGAGACCAGGGTTTGAATCCAGGCCAGGCTTTAGCTCGTGTGCAGAGCGAGAGATCAAATTATAAAGCTGTATTGTAATTTTTTATATCAAGACAAAGCCACCTGAACAATAGAAAGAAGAGCAGCATGAACTATTTTAGAAATTATATTTAATCATGTAGAAAATTTAAGAAAAATCTTCAAATACATATGTATATATATGACACCTTTAGGACTTTTTGGAAATTTGTTGTGATCTTGAATAATGATTTAAAACTATAAATCAAATTGACCTAAGATTTACAAAGAAATAGAGAGATCCTTAATTTTAATAAGATATAATAAACTAGGGCTGCAATCAATCAATGAATCAAATTTTCTTTGTATAGCACATTTCAGCAGCAAGGCATTTCAAAGTGCTTTACATAATTAAAATAAAAACAGCATGTGACATTGATTAAACAGTGAGAAAGAGAGACATTTTGAAAAAGATTAAAAAAAGATAACATTAAAACCACCAATCCTTTTAGGAGGTTAGTTAAATGTCGTTTAACTTGGGCTCTAACCCTCTGGCATTTTATTCAAAAACACTGTTTGACAAGTATTTGTATGTCACTGTAATGAAGAGAGCTTCATTACTGGGTCTATTTTTATTTAAGTTACTGTATAGCACTTTAAAGGCACTTTTTGCACTTTATTAACAAGCACTTTATTTAGCACTGCACTTTAAGCAGAGATTTGCACATAAATAATAATTTGCACACGAGAAGTTTTAATTGTATTTATTGAATATTTTAGTAATTAGCATGTAGCCTTTTGTTCTGGGCTCTGCACAGCTGCTCCTCATTGGAAAGTGAGGTGGTTGCCTGTGGAGGGAGGATAATTGTTACTCAGAGCAATGAGCTACTGGTGGGTAAAACTGAGCAAATGTT